TCCGTTTCGCTTTCATGTGCCGGTTTGAGAAAAAGGGGGGCTACAAAAGCGTAGACTCATACAACTTGACTACGAAGGGCAAATGTGCCCATATTGCCCATACTGGTCGCTCCACAGCGACGCTTGAACAAGTATGCCGCCCCCCCTTGAAAGTTTCGAGGAACCAAATGATGCGCTGGAAACAGGGATCCTTACATTATACACCCGAACATTGCCTTGTAAATGGTGGTTTCCCTTTATTTTGGTGGAAAAAGCCATGTTTCAAATGGGCAAAATGTATCTTTTAAGGAGCCCTGGGAAAGTATGCAGGAATGCAAGCTCACACAGTGCGGCCGTGAGCTTTGGTTCTTGAAGGCTCCACCTGCCAAGCTGCAAGTATGTGATCTGACGCCAAGAGATATGCTCCCAGGTGGTCAAGTTGGCCAGCATCAGGAAGCCGTGGAAGAACAAAAGGCAGCTCACCTCAGAAACGATTGAAGCTCGTTGGCGGTGACTTTGGAATGCTTGGTTGGCCTCTCTCAATTTGCAGAACCCAACCATACTTGGCTGGAACTAGGAACCCAGCAAAAAACATATTGTTTGCCTGGGTAGTGGAAAACAAAGGGGACCCCAGAAAAGAAAAACAACAAAAAAAAACAGCGGGAACTAATTCTGAGCAATCGCACATAGCCAATGTTCAGTCCCCTTGGCCTTCAGGACATGTCATGGCAAAAGCCGACTCGTAGATCACGAAGGTGTTAGCGGCGGAGATCGCATGGAAGGGGGGCTAACCCGGCAGTTCAACTCTGCAATTCCTTCAGAAGTTGCAATCCCATGCAATCTTAAACATTCTATGTGCACATGCAAAAGGAAGAATGTATAGGGTGCGCGATTCTCTGGCTGTTTGACAATCAGGACCTTCAATCCCCAAACCATTTGAGTCGCAAGCAAAACCCGGTATTAAAATGGTTGACCCAGAACCATGCTTCAAGAATTAAGAAGGCGGATATCCGCAGCTATTGTTGGTTAGGATTGTCCCTTACTAACCTTCCTCTACCCATGCTTTGATTGTGTCACATCTGACGTTAAGATCAAAAAGACACAGATGCTAACCACATCCACTCGGGCCACCCATGGTCGACCACACACCAACAACGGTGGTCAAAATGCGCAACATGGATGAACATCATTTAAAAAATGCGGGCAACTGAACACATCGATCAGCACAAGGACCTGAAACACGCCCTCTCTTGGCCTGGGCCCGCAGGCTACTAGACTCATTCGGGAAGACTTTAGACTACCCGAATTTCCTTGATTCGATGTACCGCTGGGGGCTTTCATAAGCTCAGCCCAGTGGATTCCCATGGGTTCGGAAAAAGGGGCATCCTTTTTGGTTGGGTTGACTTTCTCACTGGCTGAGTGGATGGCCCAAATAAAGTCCAAACTTTATATTTACCACCAAAATGGTCTTCCCAAAAAGTTTGAAGTTCATGAACTCAGGAAGTGAGCTTTAAAAGGGAACCCTTCCCCAACAAGAAGGAAAAGGGCACCAATGGGCAACTGGATGAGGCTGCTTGAGTCACAATCAAAATCTGGTATTAAAATGTCCGTAATCCCAGAACCATGTAAAGAATGAAAAAGCGGCTGCATCCATTTGTGGCAAGGGGATTCTCCCTTACCCTTCATCTACCCGCACTTTGAGCAAGTGGCTCACATGATATCTTCAGTGCGATTGGACCTCAACCCTTGAGTTGCTTTGGAGGGGCTTCCCAACTTACCTTGGAGGGGAGCAAAACTTTTCAAATCTTAGCAGCCAAGAAATTGGATTGCCCACTAAACCACAACAGGCAAAAATAAGCAACATGTGTCCCAACGACAACCATGACTTACCCCGAATTGGTTTGAATCACCTCTTCTGGTTCTTTTTCCCGGTCCAAGCCAGAGGTTCAGCTTCAACTGCTGGTTTGGAGCCGAATCGGGTGGAATTGGGTGGTTTCTCGGTTGCCAAATCTGCGAAGCCCCGCTAAAAGTTTAACTTTTAGAGGTTTAGTGGAAACCCCATTAGTTGGCAAAAAGTTAAAGTCCTAACAGCCAAACAAAATGCACCAAAGGTTTGGTGATCACTTCAACTGGTGGTTTGGATTTTGTTTGGTGGTTCGGGGTGGAGCCAAACCCCAAATTGGCAAGACGTCAACTGGCAGTTTTTTCTCGCGCTTCACAACTCTCTCTCTTTTTACCTTGCCCGGTTTCCCATTTGCAAGAATCAGGGAGCACCAAATTCCCGCGCGATGTCGGATAAGATCAAGGCAATTCGCCTGTCACTTGGGAACCCTCAGGTAGCAAGCTGGGACTTGGGCGACCGATCGAACGATCGGCCCAGGTGCCATCAGGAAGAACATCGCGATGAAGAGAAGCCCTACACGCTCAAAGCTCGGAATTTCGACAGACTGGATCCCCCATCCGGGAGGCGAATCTCTTTATCCCACAAACTTCAGAAGCATCTTCCAAAGGTGTTCTGCCACATCCCCCTTCCGAAAAACACCTGAAGGTGTTGCAATTGGGGCTCTGCAAGCGGGTGATTCCTGAAAACATCCAGGGGGCTTCGCACTTCACTTCGCCCTGAAATCGCAAGTGAGAAACCCGTGGATCCGAGGAGCCTCAACTTCCTCTCAGTTGTTCAGTGACCCTGGGAAAAAAAAGGGACGCCTTTTGGGGCTTGGACCATTTTTTAGTGGAGCAGCCACCAAAATAAAAGAAACAAGGGTGCCACTGAACAACTGAGTCCTTTGCAAGAGCCAAATTTTTGGCGCGCCCTACGTAGCAGGGATCGACACCCTCTGTCCGACACCAACCCACCCGACTCCCTCGCAAGAGCTGCGACTCGCCAAGAGAACAGTACCACCCCGGCCTTCACCGATCGAGTGGAGCCACACAAAAAGTATCCAAAGTATTTATGTACCACGAAACTCGGTTGCTTTCTGCTCCCCTGCTAAAAGTTTAACTTTTAGTAGTTTAATGGGAAACCCAATATTTGTCAAAAAGTTAAAGTCCTAACATCCAAGCAAAATGCACCAAATAAAAATGCCCTTCCCAAAAAGTTTTACGTGGAACTCAAGGAGTGAGTGACTGGGACAGCAGCCATGACAGCGGAACACCAAACGCCGCCTCTCTTGAAGAAAGGATGGGTCGTTCTCAACTACGTCCTCCAGTAGAGAGGCTAGAATAAACGGGTACCAACTTGTTTTTTCTGTAGTCTATTTTAGTAGGGGAACCCTCCCAAAAAAAAGGGTGAAAGGGCACTACTGGGGGACCTAGTCAATATCTGGCAATTTGGGGCGGCTTAAACTTGGTCCCCTTGAAATCTGCAAAAAACGGCTCTTCCAACGTCTTCCAAACCCCCCCGTTGAACTTGAGACCGTGGCATTGCCTGTCAGCAGCACCACGCTGGGCTCCAGCAGGGAGATCCCCTGAATGCCCTCCATGAAGAAGAGCCCCAGCTCCTCAGCTCCCTTGCGAGACTCGATTTTCAAGGTACTAGGCTGGAAAAATCGGACCCCGGCAAAAGAATATATATATATATCCTTTTTGCCTGAATAGTGGAAAGCCAAGGGACCCCAAAAAAGATCAAAAAAGGAGAAAGGGGGAAGCTAATTCTGGTCGGAAGTTCATGCCACCTACCTCGTGACGTTAGCCATCCATAGGGTTTGGCCCTGTTCTACCGCACAGGACGAGAGCTCCCCTTTGTCAGCTCGAGAGAAAGAAAGGCGCCACCTGACCCCAAAATTGCCATGGCAGAACCGCTGGGCCTTGCGAAGTTTACCGTCCACTGGCGAAGTCGGAGCCGAACCAGGGCCGAAGATGTGCCCACCACGCAGTGGCGAATACCAATCCTTGCTTCAATAAACTTAGAATTCTTGTGGGGACGTCAAACGGAATCCGGTCACAACCCAGCGCCTTTATCTTGAAGAAAAATGTCACTGTGTTTGTCCATTTCAGTGGAGAAACGGAACAAGGAAAGGGGCAAGAGTTGAGTTGAAACTCAATCCTGAACCCTCCTTTTCCAGGCCAAAAGGGTGGAGCTTGCCCTCCGAGTTGGAGTGGAACTTGTGCTCCGAGCTCATGCATTTTTTTGCCAGAGCAAAAAAGGGGGTAGAGTGCGTATTCGGGACGCATGCGGCAAATGGGCTTCGGCCAAGGGTCTAAGCATTGCAGGATCAGAAACCAGAAGAACAGCACGCGGTTGTTCTCTCCTGGCGCTGGACACAGCTCGCAGGGCAGCCAAAAACCTCACCAATGAGCATTTCGTAATTGCACACACATGGATGTATCGCATTTTTTGGGAACCCCCCCCCAACAGCGGTTGGTGTCCGTTTCGTTTCCCTTTTAAAACCTACCCACAACAGGTACTCTCAAAATAAGGACACACCCACATGAAGACGTGCACGCGTCCTACACAGCTGCCGATCCATGGGCAGTGGTGGTCGTGAGTGCGCACACAGCGACCGCAGTCGTGGCAGTGTTTGGTGCCTCGAATGCATCAATTGGTGGTTGGGATTGGGTGGCTTGGATTTGGATGAACAAATCACTCTGGTTCTTGTGGGCAAATGGGACACCCGTAACCTCCAAACCACAAATCCAAACCAACACTAGGTCCTCCAGTAGAGAGGTTAGAATAAGGGTACCCTCTTTTTCCCTGTAGCCTATTTTAGCAGGGGAACCCTCCCAACCAAAAAAGGGGTGAGAAAGGGCACTACTGGGGGGCCTAGACCAATTTGGGGGAAGCTGATATTCAATTTAATACAGGGATCCTTACATTATACACCTGAACATTGCCTGGTAAATGCTGGTTTCCCTTGATTTTGGTGTTGAAAAAGCAACATGGTTCAAATGGTCGCAAAATGAATTTCTTTTAAGGAGCCCTGTATTAGCAATCGAATTCCTGAGCCTCCGCCCACTGTCGGCCCGAAAGATCAATCGGTAGATGGACCAGCTGTTCGTGGAGGATAGGTGCGCCAACTCCTTTAAAAAAAGACGACTTTTCTCTTGGAAAAGGGCTTTGCCCGAAAGGAGAATCAGTTTTTAAGTTGGACCCCTTCACTGCCGAGGATAAGGGAATAAGGTCTGCCATGTTAGTTGGTGGGAGGGTGAATAAGGTCACGTCCCGATTCAAAGCCAAACTCCCTCGCTGCCAAGCCACGCAAGGGCTGGTGCAGTTGGCAGCGCTTGCACCAGCGCGGTGTGAGCCCTGCACTGCACCAACACATCTTGTCCAACATCCTTTTGAGTGCCCTTCCGGCTCTTTTCGGGGGAGCCTGCTTCCCCCCCAAATTCCCGAAAGAAAATGTGACTCTTTTCTGGACACGTTGCATTCCGGGCGTTCCCCAAGAACGTAGTGCGGGGACTGTGAAAAGCACTGGGTTCCCAAGTATTGCAAGTAAACTAACCGCAGCCAACATGGCCAGCGGTCGCCATTAGTAGCCTCCCATCCAAGACGGGACTTGCGAGGCCCCTTGAACGCGTGAGAGTGAGAGTGAGAGTGAGTGAGTGCGTAAGTGCGTTAGTGCGAGAGTGCGTACGTGCGTGCGTGACTGAGTGACAAAGTGACTGAGTGACTGAGTCAGTGACTAAGTGACAGAGTTTACGGAGTGAGTGGCTGAGTGACTGAGTAACTGAGTGACTGAGTGACTGAGTGACTGAGTGACTGAGTGACTGAGTGACTGAGTGACTGAGTGACTGAGTGACTGAGTGACTGAGTCAGTGACTAAGTGACAGAGTTTACGGGGTGAGTGGCTGAGTGACTGAGTAACTGAGTGACTGAGTGACTGAGTGACTGAGTGACTGAGTGACTGAGTGACTGAGTGACTGAGTGACTGAGTAACTGAGTGACTGAGTGACTGAGTGACTGAGTGACTGAGTGACTGAGTGACTGAGTGACTGAGTGACTGAGTGACTGACTGAGTGACTGACTGACTGAGTGAGTGAGTGAGTGAGTGAGTGAGTGCGTGCGTGCGTGCGTGCGTGTGACGGAGGAGGCGAAGAAGGAGTAACGCGGCGGGACGACGAGCGGTAAAAGTAAGAACCCCAGACAATGATGTGGGGAAAAACGAGCCTACCCAAAATTAGAGTTCTGGTTGACAATCAAAAAGGTTCCCTCGCAAACTTGCTGGTTCCACAAACAAAACTTGCCAATGCGATAAGCAGAGACTGTGATTGAATGAACTCAGGGGTTCCCCTAAAGGAAGCCATGCCATGCGATAGTTTATATCAGCTTCCCTCTAATCGGTGGTTTGGATTGGCGGTGTGGTCAAGGGGGCGATTCCCCAAGCCGCCGACTAGCCCCGCAGGAACCCTGCGGGTCCCCTCGGCCCATCCGCCTGAAGCCTCCGTTTCCGGCTCCGCCGGCATGCGCCGCTTCATGCCCTCGGCCTCCAAAAAAAGTGCTTGGCTGACGTTGGGTTAGGGGAGCATTTTGTTTAAGCAGTTAAGTGGTTGGATTTCAACCACTCAACCACAATAAGATCAAAAATAAGCAAAATGGTTCCCGACAACAACCATGAAAACGGGTGGTTTTAAAGGGAAGCCCAGAAAACAAACCCAAATCGTGAAACTTTTGGGGGGGTCCCCCGAAAACTGGATCTGTCGCATCCCCAAAAGCCATTGAAAACGCGCTCCCGAGCCTCCGAGTTCCCGAGTTCCAAGTTCGATTCGCCCGAAGATCGTTGGGTGGAATTGAAAAAACCCCACCATCTCTCCCAGTTGGTGGGGGGGGGGGGGATTGGCAGAGGCTTCTCTACAGAACCCGACACTCCCCGAACCGGGCAAGCCTTTGTGGCCATGTTCCCTTCAGAATTAGGGCTCTCACTGCTTGGTTTCGGGCTTTGGGGCCCTTGGCTTGGATGAATCAATATTCGAACACCTCGCATCCTGGATCGCCAGGTGCTGATTTGTTCCATGCGCTTTGCTCCAAACACCAGCAACGGTGACTGAAAAAAACCATCGCAGCTTGGCTATCTAGGATGTTACATCTCGGTTTTTGAGGTCAGGGACATTTTTGACGGAACCTCCGCGTCGTGTGGGCAGAGGGAGGAAACGCGAGGAACGCAAGCAGTTGGGAGCCCCCAATTCAAGGGAACGTGGTCACAAAAAAGGTGCCACCCGTTCTTGGGCTGGGGGGGGGAGTGTTGGGTTCCAACAGGAAGCCTCTGCCAACCCCCCCCCCCCCCACCTACTGGGAGGTGGGGGTGCCCCTATTCCATTCATCCAGTATTCCAAATTCCAACCACATGACCAACAAAAACATGGGAGTTCCACGCATGGAGATCTCCAGAAAATCAAAGTCCAAGGGTCTGCCTGGCTATTTGTGTTTTTTGTCTGGCTATTTGTGTTTTTTTCTGTGGGAAAAAAGGACAAATCTCAAGCAAAGGAAAAATGCATCAAAGTAAATATGTGTTTTGCTTTTGACCTTTGATTTAATGCATGGAACACATGGTATTTATGAATTATAATCGTTTGTTTTGCTGCACTCAACTGTTTTTGGATACAAACATTTATGTTTTTATGTATAAATGTGTAATGTATGTATCATCAATAGTTGGTGCATGGCGGCTACATTGCACAAAAACTGATATACTGTGGAAGTGTTGAACATGCCTTGTCCTGGGCAAAGCTCATCAAAAACCCACCGAAGATGCCCAACCTCCTCAACACCCCAACGAGGCTCCCCAAAGGAATCTCGAGCATGATTTGTGGATGAAACAGTTCAAAAAGTTCATACATGTTGGTCCAACAGTAATTTGCCAGTGGCAGGGGGGGGGGCAGGGCGGACAGTAATTGTAGGTTGGTTTGCTCAGAAGTCAGTAGGCGTAATGAAATTGGGCTGCTTGTAGGAAAGTATGCAAACATAGTTTTGAGATTCGATGACAGTTATGGGTTTGTTTGGCATGGCGTCCTGGCATGCAGCATGCGCCCTGTTTGTCAGAAGGGGTCCTCAACTTCTTCGGCCAGGAACCTGCCGAGTCCAAGGTTTAGTCTGCAGCTGGGCTCTGGGGTCTAACTAAACTAGTGCACCGAAAGGTGCTTTAAGCACCGAAAGGTGCTTTTTAGTACTAAGCACCGAAAGGTGCAGCACCGAAAGGTGCTTAATAATAAGCACCGAAAGGTGCAGGTCTGGGCCCCTCAAGCACTGGAAGGTGCTATTTGTTTTGTTTTTCCGGGTGCGCCTCTTGGACGACAAGGCACGGCCTCGATTCGATCTGAACCAACTTGCTGTCGCGAGCGAAGAACCTTTGATGACCTTTCCTTTGCTTGATTATGAGTCCTTGTTTATTCATGGAAACTCTTGTGTATTTTCTTCCAGTCTGCCTTCCGTGAAGGTTTTGCTGCAGCCACCATTGGCCGATAAACACTGTGTGTGTGGACCAACGTATGTTGCATGGTTGTGAGTTTCTTATGAGCCCGACAGGCCGACTCCTTTCAATAGCTTTTTGTTGTGCCATTGAAGGGGTCTCGCAATTTCTGTCTTAGCCATAAGGCGCGCAGTTGCTAAGATCTTGTCTGTGTGAGTTTGTTAACTCCTGGATGGCCAGGAGACCAACCCCTGGATGACCAGGAGTTGGTCTCACTTAGGGTTTGCGTTGAAGACCATGCCTTGGAGAACCAGGCCCCTCTCCCACAGGCCTCCCTCTGCAACCAGCCGGCAACCTTTTAAGGTTAGTTTCCTACCACTCAGTCTTTGCCTCACCCTTGTGGTCAGCGTTGTCGTGGTGTGTTTGCGTGCTGTCACTAAACGTTGACCTCAGGGAAGTGCTTGATCAGGACCGTATTCAGGCGCCTGACTAGGGAGTTGACAGTACTCAGGATCGGTCCGGCGCCAATAACTGACTTTGCACAAGGCAAGGCACTGAGCCAGCGTCAACCCAGTGCTAAGGATTGCTCAGGAATACTGAGCTCATTTGTTGCAGGCATCAAGTCATGGTGACAGTTCTTTTTCTTCCCATGCAATGTTGTGCCATGATCCACTGAGCCATCATCATCATCTTGCACAGAATGCCGGGGCCTTTCTTGTCTGCAGGCACACCTGATCCCTTCATTTTGCATTTGCCGATCTGTTGGATTTGCAGTTGTAGCTTTGCAAGCCGTCCCAGGACCTGCAGCTGGATGAATATCATGTTTGCAGTTGCATGAAGATCATGTTGCGCACGCTCACAATATTATAGCATTCTGGTCGCTGGCCTTTGTTGCTGCTGCCAACTTGCGAGGGGTTGGAAAAGAATAACAAGCCATTATTGCGCGGTTCTCGCTGCAGCTTGTGATTGCTGGCTGCCCACAGTCTGGGCTGCCGTTCTTTGGCTTGGCATTGGGCAGATTTCGTTTCGAGTGTCTTTGCCTTGTTCTGTCTGCTGTCCACAGCTCTTGTTTCTCACTCTGCTGCCCGCCTGCAATTCTCTTTGGAAGGGTCTCATTCCTGTCAGGGCTCTTTTATTGCACATGCAGACATACTTGTTCATCTCTGTGGCAGCCTGGTTCTCATGTCAAGCCCATGCCTCCGTCAAGCTTTCCGGAAGGCAGTTGCAAGGGAGTCAGTTAGAGTGGGCACTGTGCTCAGCTGCACTCATTTTTTCGAGTTGCAGCATTCATGTGCTCGCTCAGGCTGCAGCTGACGCTGGCTTGGCGTTGGCGCTCTTCATGCTCAGTGGGCCTGAACCTCATTGCTATTCAGCCAGCCAGAGTTTGAAGTGACATGTGCCACAATCACCTCTTGTCAGACATTTCTCCTGCTGTGTGCTCCTTCACTACTTGGCGCATGTGGCTCTCTCACCTGCAGCCAAGGGGGCGGTGGCCATTGATACAATATGGTGCATTCAACTGACAAGTTGCACACCAACAGCCAGGCACCAAACGCACACCAACTGCCAGCACACGCACACTTTAGGCACTGCACCCAAATTTCAAACTTCAGGTCCGCGTGTGCCCCATGGGCTTCAGAGTCACTGCGCCGGCTGCTTCGCAGGCTTCGGTGTCAGACCAATGAGCTTCAGTGGCTGTACCTTCAGCGGCTGCAACTTCGGTGGCGGCTTTGGAGATAAGCCGAAGGGCTTCAAGCGGAAGTCGCCGGCAGACCTCAGGCGTGTGCCTTGGCCATCATTGTCTAGTATGCTATTATTATTCCTTTTGAAATGACGCCAACTCAAGTTTAGAATGCCATTGTGTCGCGGCCTGAAAGTAATGCAAAATGTATTGCCTTCTTGCTGTGCTGCAGGATGCCAAGCGCGTGCAGCTGCACAAGGCTAAGACTGAAGGGGCGTCGGAAGGCATTGCGCCACGACCCTTAGTAGCCAGGCCATCCTCAGCCAGGCCATCCTCAGCCAGGGGATCATCCCCAGCCAATTCTCCAGCCAGATCAGCCTCAACACGTGCCAGCCCGACGTTGGCCCGAGCGCTTAAGAAGGAAGAGCTGGAGGAGCACTATTATGATGAAGATGATCAGGCTCCTGACGACGAGCAGCACGACGAGTCCGAGGCCGCCGAATCCGAAGTGGCCGTGGAGGAAGAGTATGAGGAGCCCTATGACGAGCGGGCGGAGGACTATGACGAGGCGGACCAGGCCGTGGATGAGGGCGAATGGGCGGCAGAGCCTCAGGAGGAGGCCGAGGAGGAGTGGGAGTGGCGCAATGTGAAGGAGAAGTGGTGACGAGGAGAAAGTTGAGGAGGTCCAGGTGGTGGACGAAGAAGGAGAGGCATGGGAGTGGTACTCACGCCTCGTGGAGACGGGCGTCCGCAACTTGCGGCCACTGTTCTTTGAAGGAAGGGCAGTGTTTGTCGGCGGAGCCCCGAGCGCGTACACGGTACTCCGGGACTTCCCAGGCTTGGTGGTGAACTGCCAGGGTCAGAAGTTCCTGGGGCCTCACAGATTGCAACACTTTCTGTTGATTTTGCCTTATAGCAAGTGTGCAATGTTTAGCTAAATGGGCTGAAGTTGTAGGGGCCTACTACTTTGCTTTGTTTTCCTCGACCAAGGCAAGCCAATGCCCTGCTCAAGACCAGGCCCCATCATCTTCAAGTGGTCACTGCGAACCCCAACTGGATTCTTCGCCACAAGGACGCGCAATTCAAGACATCGCTGAAGCTTGCCTTGGCTGTGAGTAACATTTTTGCTATGCCCGTGAACAAACACGGGAGTTGAATGGACTTACCACTTCCACAAGCCCTGGTCAAATGCCCAGGTGGCAGGACGTGTTGGACAAGGTGCAGAAGTCCAGGCTGGTGTTCATCCACTGCAATGGCGGGGTCCACAGATCCCCAGCAGCCAGGCCCCAACCCATCAGCGTTTTGGTTATGATGAATGCCCAGTGTGTTTTTCTTTGGTGCGCGTAAATGAAACATGCGTTGAGGGCCCAATTGATTCTGCAACAACAAAGGCGCTATGC